TCTTCTTTCTTCGTCTTTGGCTCAACTTTAGGAACTAAACCTAAAAAAATTTAAATATTCCTATTAACTAATCATAATTTAAAATGTATCATTAAAGCAAATAAATAGCATTTATTGTAGTATTACAAGAAATTAATAAGCATTATCCATCATCCTCCTACCTGTAAAAAAAAAATATGTAGCTTTTGTGTCAATCGCTTCAGATCCTTCCTTCCTGGTGCTGTGGTGTTCTTCTTTCTTCGTCTTTAGCACATTCTCTGGAACTAAACCTAGTAAAATAACTATTGGCATTTACTAAATAAAGTTTAAAATGTTTCATTACAGCAAATAAAAAGCATTATTGTCCTATAACCAGAAAGTAATGAGAATTATACATCATCCACCTACCTGTTTGGAAAAAAATATGTAGCTTTGGTGTCAATCGCTTCGGATCCTTTCTCTATGGTGATGTCTTTGTCTCCTTCTTCGTCTTGGGCACAATCTCTGGAACTAAACCTTGAAAATGATAACTATTTTCATTAACTGAACAATTTTTAAAATGTGTCCTTATAGCAAATAAAAATTGAACAAAGTTAAAACAGCATTTACAGTCCCGATTATGGCAAATTGCTGAAAATTAACTATCGTCCTCTTACAGGTTTGAAAAAAAATACATAGCTTTTGTGTCAATCGCTTCAGATCCTTCCTTCCTGGTGCTGTGGTGTTCTTCTTTCTTCGTCTTCGGCTCAACTTTAGGAACTAAACCTAAAAAAATTTAAATATTCCAATTAACTAATCATAATATAAAATGTATCATTAAAACAAATAAATAGCATTTATTGTAGTATTACAAGAAAGTAATAAGAATTATCCATCATCCCCCTACCTGTTTGAAAAAAAATATGTACCTTTAGTGTCAATCACTTCAGATCCTTCCTCCCTGGTGATGTGGTGTTCTTCTTTATTCATCTGTGGCTTAATTTCAGTAACTAAATCTAAAAATGAGGACTACTGGCATTACCTGAATAATGTTTAAAATGTGTCATTATAGCAAATTAACAAAATTTATGGTCCCAATTACAAGAAATTGATGAGAATTATCAATCATCCTCCTACCTGTAAAAAAAAAAAATATGTAGCTTTTGTGTCAATCGCTTCAGATCCTTCCTTCCTGGTGCTGTATTGTTCTTCTTTCTTCGTCTTCGGCTCAATTTTAGGAACTAAACCTAAAAAAGTTTAAATATTCCTATTAACAAATCAAATTATAAAATGTATCATTATAGCAAATAAACAGCATTAATTGTACCATTGCAAGAAATTGATGAGAATTATCAATCATCCTCCTACCTGTAAAAAGAAAATTATGTAACTTTTGTGTCAATCGCTTCAGATCCTTCCTTCCTGGTGCTGTGGTGTTCTTCTTTCTTCGTCTGTGGCTCAATTTCAGGAACTAAACCTAAAAAAAAATAACTATTTGCATAAACTGGAAATGTTTAAAATGGGCCATTAAAGCAAATTAACAGCATTTATTGTCCCAATTACGTGAAATTGATGAGAATTATCAATCATCCTACTACCTGTAAAAGAAAAACATGTAGCTTTTGTGTCAATCGCTTCAGATCCTTCCTTCCTGGTGCTGTGGTGTTCTTCTTTCTTCGTCTTGAGCACATTCTCTTGAGCTAAACCTAGAAAAATAACTATTTGCATTAACCAAATAAGGTTTAAAATGTTTCATTACGGCAAATAAAAAGCATTATTGTCCTATAACCAGAAAGTAATGAGAATTATACATCATCCTCCTACCTGTTTGGAAAAAAATATGTAGCTTTGGTGTCAATCGCTTCGGATCCTTTCTCTATGGTGATGTCTTTGTCTCCTTCTTCGTCTTGGGCACAATCTCTGGAACTAAACCTTGAAAATGATAACTATTTTCATTAACTGAACAATTTTTAAAATGTGTCCTTATAGCAAATAAAAATTGAACAAAGTCAAAACAGCATTTACAGTCCCGATTATGGCAAATTGCTGAAAATTAACTACTGTCCTCTTACAGGTTTGAAAAAAAATACATAGCTTTTGTGTCAATCGCTTCAGATCCTTCCTTCCTGGTGCTGTGATGTTCTTCTTTCTTCGTCTTCGGCTCCACTTTAGGAACTAAACCTAAAAAAATTTAAATATTCCAATTAACTAATCATAATATAAAATGTATCATTAAAACAAATAAATAGCATTTATTGTAGTATTACAAGAAAGTAATAAGAATTATCCATCATCCCCCTACCTGTTTGAAAAAAAATATGTACCTTTAGTGTCAATCACTTCAGATCCTTCCTCCCTGGTGATGTGGTGTTCTTCTTTATTCATCTGTGGCTTAATTTCAGTAACTAAATCTAAAAATGAGGACTACTGGCATTACCTGAATAATGTTTAAAATGTGTCATTATAGCAAATTAACAAAATTTATGGTCCCAATTACAAGAAATTGATGAGAATTATCAATCATCCTCCTACCTGTAAAAAAAAAAAATATGTAGCTTTTGTGTCAATCGCTTCAGATCCTTCCTTCCTGGTGCTGTGGTGTTCTTTTTTCTTCGTCTTCGGCTCAATTTTAGGAACTAAACCTAAAAAAGTTTAAATATTCCTATTAACAAATCAAATTATAAAATGTATCATTATAGCAAATAAACAGCATTAATTGTACCATTGCAAGAAATTGATGAGAATTATCAATCATCCTCCTACCTGTAAAAAGAAAATTATGTAACTTTTGTGTCAATCGCTTCAGATCCTTCCTTCCTGGTGCTGTGGTGTTCTTCTCTCTTTGTCTTGAGCACATTCTCTTGAGCTAAACCTAGAAAAATAATTATTTGCATTAACTAAATAAGGTTTAAAATGATTCATTATAGCAAATAAAAAACATTATTGCCCTATTATAAGAAATTAATAAGAATTATACATCATACTCCTACCTGTAAAAGAAAAATATGTTGCTTTTGTGTCAATCGTTTCGGATCCCTTCTTCTTAGTGTGATGTGGTGTTCTTCTTTCTTCATCTTCTGCTCAACATTAGGAACTAAACGTAAAAAAAATTTAAATATTCGGATAGACTAAACATAATATAAAATGTGTCATTAAAGCAAATAAACAGCATTAATTGTACCATTGCAAGAAATTGATGAGAATTATCAATCATCCTCCTACCTGTAAAAAGAAAACTATGTAACTTTTGTGCCAATCGCTTCAGATCCTTCCTTCCTGGTGCTGTGGTGTTCTTCTTTCTTCGTCTGTGGCTCAATTTCAGGAACTAAACCTTAAAAAAAATAACTATTTGCATAAACTGAAAATGTTTAAAATGGGCCATTAAAGCAAATTAACAGCATTTATTGTCCCAATTACGTGAAATTGATGAGAATTATCAATCATCCTACTACCTGTAAAAGAAAAACATGTAGCTTTTGTGCCAATCGCTTCAGATCCTTCCTTCCTGGTGCTGTGGTGTTCTTCTTTCTTCGTCTTGAGCACATTCTCTTGAGCTAAACCTAGAAAAATAACTATTTGCATTAACCAAATAAGGTTTAAAATGTTTCATTACAGCAAATAAAAAGCATTATTGTCCTATAACCAGAAAGTAATGAGAATTATACATCATCCTCCTACCTGTTTGGAAAAAAATATGTAGCTTTGGTGTCAATCGCTTCGGATCCTTTCTCTATGGTGATGTCTTTGTCTCCTTCTTCGTCTTGGGCACAATCTCTGGAACTAAACCTTGAAAATGATAACTATTTTCATTAACTAAACAATTTTTAAAATGTGTCCTTATAGCAAATAAAAATTGAACAAAGTCAAAACAGCATTTACAGTCCCGATTATGGCAAATTGCTGAAAATTAACTATTGTCCTCTTACAGGTTTGAAAAAAAATATGTAGCTTTTGTGTCAATCGCTTCAGATCCTTCCTTCCTGGTGCTGTGGTGTTCTTCTTTCTTCGTCTTCGGCTCAACTTTAGGAACTAAACCTAAAAAAATTTAAATATTCCAATTAACTAATCATAATATAAAATGTATCATTAAAACAAACAAGTAGCAATTATTGTAGTATTACAAGAAAGTAATAAGAATTATCCATCATCCCCCTACCTGTAAAAAAAAAAATATGTAGCTTTTGTGTCAATCGCTTCAGATCCTTCCTTCCTGGTGCTGTGGTGTTCTTCTTTCTTCGTCTTCGGCTCAACTTTAGGAACTAAACCTAAAAAAATTTAAATATTCCAATTAACTAATCATAATATAAAATGTATCATTAAAACAAATAAATAGCATTTATTGTAGTATTACAAGAAAGTAATAAGAATTATCCATCATCCCCCTACCTGTTTGAAAAAAAATATGTACCTTTAGTGTCAATCACTTCAGATCCTTCCTCCCTGGTGATGTGGTGTTCTTCTTTATTCATCTGTGGCTTAATTTCAGTAACTAAATCTAAAAATGAGGACTACTGGCATTACCTGAATAATGTTTAAAATGTGTCATTATAGGAAATTAACAACATTTATGGTCCCAATTACAAGAAATTGATGAGAATTATCAATCATCCTCCTACCTGTAAAAAGAAAAATATGTAGCTTTTGTGTCAATCGCTTCACATCCTTCCTTCTTGGTGCTGTGGTGTTCTTCTTTCTTCGTCTTTAGCACATTCTCTGGAACTAAACCTGGTAAAATAACTATTGGCATTAACTAAATAAAGTTTAAAATGTTTCATTACAGCAAATAAAAACAATCGCTTATGTGTCAATCGCTTCAGATCCTTCCTTCCTGGTGCTGTGGTGTTCTTCTTTCTTCGTCTTTGGCTCAACTTTAGGAACTAAACCTAAAAAAATTTAAATATTCCTATTAACTAATCATAATATAAAATGTATCATTAAAGCAAATAAATAGCATTTATTGTAGTATTACAAGAAAATAATAAGCATTATCCATCATCCCCCTACCTGTAAAAAAAAAATATGTAGCTTTTGTGTCAATCGCTTCAGATCCTTCCTTCCTGGTGCTGTGGTGTTCTTCTTTCTTCGTCTTTAGCACATTCTCTGGAACTAAACCTAGTAAAATAACTATTGGCATTTACTAAATAAAGTTTAAAATGTTTCATTACAGCAAATAAAAAGCATTATTGTCCTATAACCAGAAAGTAATGAGAATTATACATCATCCACCTACCTGTTTGGAAAAAAATATGTAGCTTTGGTGTCAATCGCTTCGGATCCTTTCTCTATGGTGATGTCTTTGTCTCCTTCTTCGTCTTGGGCACAATCTCTGGAACTAAACCTTGAAAATGATAACTATTTTCATTAACTGAACAATTTTTAAAATGTGTCCTTATAGCAAATAAAAATTGAACAAAGTTAAAACAGCATTTACAGTCCCGATTATGGCAAATTGCTGAAAATTAACTATCGTCCTCTTACAGGTTTGAAAAAAAATACATAGCTTTTGTGTCAATCGCTTCAGATCCTTCCTTCCTGGTGCTGTGGTGTTCTTCTTTCTTCGTCTTCGGCTCAACTTTAGGAACTAAACCTAAAAAAATTTAAATATTCCAATTAACTAATCATAATATAAAATGTATCATTAAAACAAATAAATAGCATTTATTGTAGTATTACAAGAAAATAATAAGCATTATCCATCATCCCCCTACCTGTAAAAAAAAAAATATGTAGCTTTTGTGTCAATCGCTTCAGATCCTTCCTTCCTGGTGCTGTGGTGTTCTTCTTTCTTCGTCTTCGGCTCAACTTTAGGAACTAAACCTAAAAAAATTTAAATATTCCAATTAACTAATCATAATATAAAATGTATCATTAAAACAAACAAATAGCATTTATTGTAGTATTACAAGAAAGTAATAAGAATTATCCATCATCCCCCTACCTGTTTGAAAAAAAATATGTACCTTTTGTGTCAATCACTTCAGATCCTTCCTCCCTGGTGATGTGGTGTTCTTCTTTATTCATCTGTGGCTTAATTTCAGTAACTAAATCTAAAAATGAGGACTACTGGCATTACCTGAATAATGTTTAAAATGTGTCATTATAGCAAATTAACAACATTTATGGTCCCAATTACAAAAATTGATGAGAATTATCAATCATCCTCCTACCTGTAAAAAGAAAAATATGTAGCTTTTGTGTCAATCGCTTCACATCCTTCCTTCCTGGTGCTGTGGTGTTCTTCTCTCTTTGTCTTGAGCACATTCTCTTGAGCTAAACCTAGAAAAATAATTATTTGCATTAACTAAATAAGGTTTAAAATGATTCATTATAGCAAATAAAAAACATTATTGCCCTATTATATGAAATTAATAAGAATTATACATCATACTCCTACCTGTAAAAAAAAAATATGTTGCTTTTGTGTCAATCGTTTCGGATCCCTTCTTCTTAGTGTGATGTGGTGTTCTTCTTTCTTCATCTTCTGCTCAACATTAGGAACTAAACGTAAAAAAAATTTAAATATTCGGATAGACTAAACATAATATAAAATGTGTCATTAAAGCAAATAAACAGCATTTATTGTAGTATTACAAGAAATTAATAAGAATTATCCATCATCCTCCCTCCTACCTGTTTGAAGAAATTATGTAGCTTTTGTGTCAATCGCATTAGATCCTTCCTCCCTGGTGATGTGGTGTTCTTCTTTCTTCATATGTCGCTCAATTTCAGGAACTAAACCTAAAAAAAAAAAACTATTTGCATAAACTGAAAATGTTTAAAATGGGCCATTAAAGCAAATTAACAGCATTTATTGTCCCAATTGCGTGAAATTGATGAGAATTATCAATCATCCTCCTACCTGTAAAAGAAAAACATGTAGCTTTTGTGTCAATCGCTTCAGATCCTTCCTTCCTGGTGCTGTGGTGTTCTTCTTTCTTTGTCTTTAGCACATTCTCTGGAACTAAACCTAGTAAAATAACTATTGGCATTAACTAAATAAAGTTTAAAATGTTTCATTACAGCAAATAAAAAGCATTATTGTCCTATAACCAGAAAGTAATGAGAATTATACATCATCCACCTACCTGTTTGGAAAAAAATATGTAGCTTTGGTGTCAATCGCTTCGGATCCTTTCTCTATGGTGATGTCTTTGTCTCCTTCTTCGTCTTGGGCACAATCTCTGGAACTAAACCTTGAAAATGATAACTATTTTCATTAACTGAACAATTTTTAAAATGTGTCCTTATAGCAAATAAAAATTGAACAAAGTTAAAACAGCATTTACAGTCCCGATTATGGCAAATTGCTGAAAATTAACTATCGTCCTCTTACAGGTTTGAAAAAAAATACATAGCTTTTGTGTCAATCGCTTCAGATCCTTCCTTCCTGGTGCTGTGGTGTTCTTCTTTCTTCGTCTTCGGCTCAACTTTAGGAACTAAACCTAAAAAAATTTAAATATTCCAATTAACTAATCATAATATAAAATGTATCATTAAAACAAATAAATAGCATTTATTGTAGTATTACAAGAAAGTAATAAGAATTATCCATCATCCCCCTACCTGTTTGAAAAAAAATATGTACCTTTAGTGTCAATCACTTCAGATCCTTCCTCCCTGGTGATGTGGTGTTCTTCTTTATTCATCTGTGGCTTAATTTCAGTAACTAAATCTAAAAATGAGGACTACTGGCATTACCTGAATAATGTTTAAAATGTGTCATTATAGCAAATTAACAAAATTTATGGTCCCAATTACAAGAAATTGATGAGAATTATCAATCATCCTCCTACCTGTAAAAAAAAAATATGTAGCTTTTGTGTCAATCGCTTCAGATCCTTCCTTCCTGGTGCTGTATTGTTCTTCTTTCTTCGTCTTCGGCTCAATTTTAGGAACTAAACCTAAAAAAATTTAAATATTCCTATTAACAAATCATATTATAAAATGTATCATTATAGCAAATAAACAGCATTAATTGTACCATTACAAGAAATTGATGAGAATTATCAATCATCCTCCTACCTGTAAAAAAAAAATATGTAGCTTTTGTGTCAATCACTTCAGATCCTTCCTCCCTGATGATGTTGTGTTCTTCTTTCTTTGTCTTGAGCACATTCTCTTGAACTAAACCTAGAAAAATAACTATTGGCATTAACTGAATAAGGTTTTAAATGTTTCATTATTGCAAATAAAAAGCATATTTATCAGATTACAAGAAAGTAATGAGAATTATACATCATCCTTCTACCTGTTTGGAAAAGAATATGTAGCTTTGGCGTCAATCGCTTCGGATCCTTTCTCTATGGTGAAGTAGTGGTCTTCTTCTTCGACCTAAAAAAATTTAAAAAAATTTAAATATAGGACTTTAACTGTACAAATTTAAAATATATTAATATAACAAATGAACTGTATTTATTGTCTCTACTACAGGATTTTACTGAGAATTGTCCAACATCATCTTACCTGTTTGGAAAAAAATCTGTAGCTTTTGGGTCATTCTCTTCGTAATCTTCCTCCATGGTGATGTCAACAAATTAAAGGTGATCCTAAAACAAATTAAAGATGGTCATTAATTGCACAGAATTCAAAATGTGTTAACATAAAAAAAATAATTGCATAATTTATCCCAATTAAGGCAAATAGTGTATACTATCGATCTTGCTTTTAATCCATTAGAAAAAAAAGTATATATGAAGATTATTGTAACTCTATTAAGACTATTTTAACCTAATTGCTTGAATTACCACCACCATATTGTATTTTAAATATTAACATTAAATGTTCAAATTTCAAAAACTAGATTTAAATTAATTTTGTTGTAATTTAATTTTTCATTTTGACCATAATGTTATAACATTAAACTTTTATAATCAATCTTACAGGTTTTGAGTTTGATCCAAGTCATTTCTGTCAACAAACTTAAATGTAAAAATAATAGCCTATGATGCAAGTACCTGTTTTTATGAGATATAAAGCTTAGAAATGGAATCGCTTGAGATCCATATTTCATTCATCCTATAGTCTTCAGATGGCGATTTTAGCTTCGCAGTGAATCATATTGTATTTTCAGTCTCACCAAAATAGAAAAAAAAATACATGTGAGAATATATTTTTATAATCATTTCTCTATAGTTCTAAATCTATTGGTTTAATTATATAGAGAAATGATAATCATTAATAGAAATGGAAAGATTTAATACGTTTTTATACATAAATTCAATCTTCATTATTATAATAATATTAAGTATTATTCTTATGATATTTAGTTTACTTAATGTTTAATTTACATCTTAACTTTATCTAATGTTTAATCTGTAATCTAAAATAACTATAAATTTTAAGATGTAATATAATTATATTATTTATTTATAGTTATATTATACATTATAGTTTTATTAATTCTGATGTAATTAATTTTAGAATAGAATAGAATAGAAAATAATTTTATTCTGGGACGAAGTCCGTTCAGAATAACTAAAAAGTACAGATATTAAATGTTACTGTTCTTATTATAAATACCTATATATTATTAACATTCAATACAATAATTTATATGAATTAAGAAATATAGCTGTATTATTATTAATCCCAATTATTATTTTACGTTACTTTCAATATAATTACATTTAGAGTCGTCAATAAATGACTTTTGAAGATCTCATCATGAATTTATTTCGTTTTTTTTTATATTATCATTAGAATTATATTAGGGGTGGTTATTAGTTCTTATAAGGGCTATTAGTTCTATTATTAGATTAGATTAATAGTAATTGTAAGCTAAATTAAACTAGTGAATCCGTTCTATGATTTAAACGAAAATTTTTAACATATTTTTTTGATATTTAAATTTTTCATGAAAAGATATTTAGCGAGCTTAATTACTCGGTAAGCGTAAATAAATTATCAAAAAAGTTAAGATATGAGTATTTATTAAAAAAAAAAAAAAGTTAAAATATGAACGAAAAACGAAAAAAAAAATTAACTAACAAAAAGAACAATGAAGAAGATTGAACAAGAACATAAATAATTCAAGAAAGAAAATTGTAAAACAGAAAACATATTCATAGACAAACAAAACAAAAAATAAACAATGAAAAAGACAAAGGATGAACAATGATGAAGTTATGTTTCATCAGCAAGAACTATTGGAGCTCTTCAGTTAGTGTGGCATATCTGGTGGTTTGGTGGTGTATCTAGTGGTGTGGTGGTGTATCTTGGTGGTGTGGTGGTGCATCTGGTGGTAAGATGGTGAATCCGCATTCTTGTTCTCAGCTAGGAACAAAAAATAAATAACATATAATATATAATTTTACATATATTAATACATTCATATATATATATATATATATATATATATATATATATATATATATATATATATATATATATATAACTTGAGATATGAATTATAGTCGGATAATAGGTCATGAAATTATTAAAGGAATTATTTTAAAAAAAAAATTGTAATATATATATATATATATATATATATATATAAGAGAGTGTGTGTGTGTGAGAGTGAGAGTGAGAGAGAGAGAGAGAGAGAGAGAGAGAGAGAGAGAGAGAGAGAGAGAGAGAGAGAATAGAAATAGAAAATAAACTTCATTCTGGTACGATGTAACCTTAGAATAACAATAATGAACAGTTACAAAAGAAAAAATACATATACATATATAAATATATATAAGTTAAGGTGCGGAGCGGGACAGTATTAGCTTTAATCCCAATTCGTGAACCTATTCCTTTTTTTTAACTGTTTCAAGCCCGTTACACTTAACTGGTGGCGAAACCCGGGATATCGAGAGTGCGGAGGTACGTTTTTTTCGATCAGGTTAAAATTCACAAGGATTCCTGAAGGAGTGGCACTGATGCCGACGGCCTCTCTGAACGTACCGGAAATCCCTCCATTACCGCAGGGAACGTTAACCGCGGCACACGCAAATGCTAAAGAATGGATGAAGATCAGGGTAGCCACTTCACAGGACCTGAGGAAGGCTATATCCGATCTCGAGCGCTTCACA